GGGGAGTTTTTAAAAACCCGTGTATTTTTGAAGGTGTTCCTGAGCCGGGTCTGCAGGAACCATGTGTGCTGCAGAGTGTGCAGCCCAGAGCTCTGTGGTTTAGAAGCGTTGCTGCTTCTCGTCGTTTCTGATCATGTGCCCTTCTTCAACTTCAACAAAATGTTGGCTGGTTCCGGTGGGAGTATTTTCTGTGGGAATTCCGGTCTTGAGACTATGTTGATTGTCCTCAAATGATCTTCTGCTAGGGTTCCTCCTCTGGGGTGATTCTCTGTGTTGGAGGAAGTGGTTGCAGAAGGCTAATTATTATGGGCATCGGAGGCAGCAGCGGCCAGCGACTTTCTCCTGAGGTTCTCACTAGACAGTTGAGCCTCATACCACCGTTGTGAGTTTTCTTTAGAAGGGATTGCTCCTTTGCCCGTCTTTGCACTTCCCTCAAGGGGTTCTGTTTAGTTAATAATCTGAGGTCTGCTTTCTGATTGTCTTTTTCTCTGCCACAACAACAACACAACAAAATGATGGCAAGATAGTTTCTTCCAAACACTGAGTGGACTCAGGGAAATTTGTTCGGAGCCAAGTCTGTCCTTTTGGGGTTCACTGATCCAGTGCCTGGCTTGCATTTTACTGAGCACTGCTGTGCACACTGGTAGGCACTTGGGGAACACAAAAGCAAAGGAGGAAGGAAGGGCTTTGCCCTCAAGAAACTCATGCTTCAAAAGGAACTTAAGTTCTAGCTGCCTGGCCCTGTGGGAAAGTGTGATGGAGGAAGTGCTGGGATGTACCCCAGAGGGCACAGAGTGGAGCAACAGCCATGCAGGGTAGTTCCCATGATAAACTGTTATTTGAATATAACCTTAATCCTCATTATAAGCCACGGAAGTGGCTTTAAGATGAAGGCAGTAAAGAAAGAAATTAGAGGACTGCCAGAGTCCTCATAACTCTATGCAATATAAGATACATATAATATAAATATATTAAGATATATGTATATCTTAATATATTAAGATATGTTTATAATATATTAAGATATATTTATAATATACATATAAGATAAATATATTAATGTAACTTTCCAATGTCCCCCTACTAAGAGTCATTGTATCTTTAACAATATTTCTCAAACCTATTCGTTTATTTCAGACACTGAGTGAACTCATGGAAATTTGTTAGGAGCCAAATCTGTTATTTCTCACTCTGCGAGGAAAAGAAACATGGCAGATCTACAATGTAGACTTTAACCACTTTTATTTTATTGAAACATAAATGTGTACAAATATAAAATATGCATAACCTTTTTATCTCTGTACTTTTATAAACTATAAAACCAAGAGACGTATAAATTAAGTAAAAACTTAAAAAATCAATCACACTTGAACTAATGAGAAGACTTGGTTTCTCAGAGACCAAATCACCAACGTTGGGACCATTGTCAGGGGACAGATACCTTTGGGCTTTTCGTTTCAGTTGTGTTTGACTTGATTGTTGTGATTTTGCATCTAATGGCCCATCACAGGCATCTGTGGCATTATCGTGGTCACCATTTTTCCTTCTTAACAAATAGCATAAATTTTGTCTGCCGATTCATTGTTTTGATGAGCAAATTCATCAGTAGTGTGCCCCTAAATACAATGCCAAATAAAGCATAGGTCCTTAAATGTACTCTGTGATAATCTTACTGCCACTTTTCTATTTGTAAACTATCGTAAAACATTTGTTCTTAGAATGAATTGCGACATCTTTTATGTTTTATTTAGTATAAATACCTCATTTATTTTCAAACCCATCTATTTTGTTTTCTCTTTAGCCTATGGCAACTTAGAGATACATTCCTTAGCCTTACTTCAGCATCGTCATTATGCAAATTAATGCTACAAAAGAAGAGTTTTGTGTTTTCAGTTGGTAAAGAATTGTGCATGAATAGTAGACAAGGGTGGTTGTTATCATAGTTACCATTAAGGCCTTGCTACAGACCTAAGGGCCTGGCCCTGACGCTTTGAAGTTAATCTCTGATCACTTGGCAGCAGCTGTCTTATAAATGCAAACATGGGAGCCAAAGTCACATGGCAGTGTTCAGTCACAAATGTCATGAGATTATCTAAAATATGCTTACCTCAATATCAGCAGTTTTGATTATCAAAGTGAAAACAAAATGTTTTAATTGTCCCAGAACTCAAAGATTTTGTCTGTAGATTTCTGGTAGACAAGAACACCCGTTTGAGAAATACTGGTCTATAGAATGTTGGTCAAATACCCGAGGACAAAGAAGTAGTTCCCTTATTTTTTTTTTTTCATTTCTCAGAAAAGATTGGTGGCATTTCTGAGTATAGCAGCTGACTTCTGTCCCGCTCTCAGCCTTGACCTGTTCCCTTCACCAGTGCCTACTTTGTTTCTATCCTACAAGGCCTTAGAAAGGAGTTTATAGACTAGGGGTGGGCATCAGGCCTAAACGGAGGTCAGCTAACTGAAAGTAGCTAAGTGTTTTCATGTGATACTAGGATTTCCCACTGACTTTCTCTCTTTCACGGTGCCATGAACTCTTTGCGAAAGGGACTGTAGTCTTATCATGTATTGGATTCCTGGTGTGTGATACCACGCCTCGCACATAGGAGGCACTCAGAAAATGTATGCTGAGAGAATGCATGAGTATTAGTATAAGAAAGTACTTAGTGGTGTGATTTATGTACATCAGATGGCATGCTCCAGTGTCTTGTTCCTGGAAGCATATGACCGATAACTTGTCTCTGTGATGAGTTAGCTGGTCCCGCAGGAAGCTGGTCTCAGCCTGCCTCGGCTCGATCGTTGCCTCAAGAATCAGGCGAGTGACCTTCACTGCCTAGGAGCTAATATCTGGAAAGTGATGAACAATTTCCCGCCTGGCACGTTTCCTTTGGCGTCTTGGCTTTTCTTCCTCACCCTGTCACCCTGGTGATTCAGAACCATGATCTTGTCCTTATTCACGGGAAACACACAAGCCACAGTCCGGAGCATGATATCCTTGTCATTGCCCCACCCTCTCTGGGCACCTCCAGGCAGAGAGCGGGGGAGAGAGCTCAGCCTGTTTGCTTTCTGATTTTGATCTGTTTGCCTGGTTCACTGTGATGATAGACTTAGGAGATAAATTGTGTATTTGTTGGAGATAGATTTTGATTCTTCAAGATCAAAGTATAGTGTTACTGGCCCTTAAAGAGTACTTCTTTGTTTAAATTATTGTTTATTTTTTCTCCAAGATAACTTTTCCTTGTTAGTTTTTTTAAACCAACTTTTATATTTCTTATCCAAAAAAAAATCATTCACCAGATAATGGGCCTTGGTTTTCATCCTGTGTGTTAGACATGTGATTTGAACACTTGGGGGAAATGTTCTGATTGGTTGGAGCCTCCAAACTGAAATAGCGTTAAGCAGAGAGCTGGGCTTTCTTACATACAAGTCTGCCATTGTGTGTGTGTATATATATATATGGCTACTGGTAGTGAAGGACAGACAAAACTGGCCATGCCAAAGGTTAGCTGCTTCATATGCTAACATGTTCTGTCAAATGGATCTAGCCAGAAGAAGCCGGGAACTGAACTATTTATCTAGTGAGCTGTGTGGTTGAGAGAAAATCCAGTGACTTTATGTGATTAGGGAATTTTCTTGTCTCAACAATTAAACCTCGCCTTTCACCTCATTGCCTTCAGGGCTCTACATAGCTCAGAAGAGAATTTGGAACTTGGAAATGTAAATGGCAGTTGAATTTTACTAAAATAGTAAACAGGGAAACAAAATGCTCTGTAGATAAGAACTAAATCTAAATAAATACCTACATCTAAGTAAATGCTTAAATACGTGCTGTTTCATTGTATACTGGAATCTGAGTACATTGTCATTAGTCCTTAAAGTAAGACATGCTTCTGTTGGCCCCGGTGCTCCTATCAAATGTAATGCTTCAATATATTTATATTCTTATTTTTCCTCTCATTTCATAAAAAATAATATGGTTTGCTTTGAAATAGCCCGGTGTAAATCAGGGGATACAACGAGGAAAAATTTTATTAAAATTGTATTAATATAAAGAATTGTAAACAGTAACATGACTCATGAAACCAACAAAACACCTGATGTTATCACATGTATCTGTAATAGAATGATGGTAGAATAGCGCACAGTGTGGTGTTGTATATGAGTTTGTATAAGCGTGTGTGCCTTACACAGGTAGACACAGAATCTGTCTCTCCAACTGTAGTAACTGGAAGTGTCTCACATTTTCAGTTATTTGAAAGAACCGTCTGCTCTTGTATTGAATATATAATGCATCGATGCTCCCTGCTTCCAAGTAAGAATGTGCTCCTCACATATAATCTAAAGGTTCTCTCTCGGGTATATAAATGACTATCCCTACACACTCACTATTTGAAATAACAGGGAATCAGCCTCAATGATCTACAGTTGGTTAGATTCAAGCCCACAACAGGCTTTAACTCAAAGCCGAGAGTGTGTTTTCTTGGTTGGATGACACTACAACCTGTAGTAGGACTTGGGCAGCAAAATAGCAGGCAATAAAAGAATCTTTTTTAATATATATATTTTATTGAATTTTTACAGAGAGGGAATGAGAGAGAGAGTTAGAAACATCGATGAGAGAGAAATATCGATCAGCTGGCTCCTGTACACCTCCCACTGGGGATGTGCCCGCAACCAAGGCACATGCCCTTGACCGGAATTGAACCTGGGACCTTTCAGTCCACAGGCCGACGCTCTATCCACTGAGCCAAACCGGTTAGGGCCAATAAAAGAATCTTTCCCAGCATTAGGACTGGCTAATGGTGACCCCCGTGAGTTTGTCCTTGAAGGCAAAGACCATGTCTGCCTTGGATGTGTGTTCCTAGGGTGTCACACCGCAGCTGCCACATAACAGGTACCCCCAAAATCATGTGACCATCATTTAAAAAATTGGTGCCTAAAGCACTGAGTTATGTCTCAAAAATCGACTACATAAATTGTGAACCGCTTCTTTGCTCGAACAGGGAGAAGATCCAGTTTATTCGAACGGAAGGGACCCCAGGATTGGTGCGCCTTTCCAGTGATGCAGACCTTGTGATGTTGCTGAGGTAGGTGACGCTCATTCTTGAGCTAGAAAGGGTCTTATTATCAGGTGTCAGGAGCATTTTAGAAAATAATTTGACAGCACTGCTAGCCTTTATTCCTGAGTTCTCGGGGGATGCTCACTTCCAGAGGTGGATGCTGGTGTAGTGGTCCTTCATTCCGGATTGCCGTTCCCATCCCGGAGATGTCTGATTGCTTTTGCCCTGCTGGTCGAGGAGGTGGCATTAGAGCAGGGGAGGGTCTGTAGAGGCCAATGCGTGGAATGTCCCATTCACAGAATGGAGCAGAAGGGTAGGTACAGCTTACCCCTTCAGCGTAGAAGAGGTCATGTTTGTATTTTCTTTCAGATTGTGTGTGTGTGTGTGTGTGTGTGTGTGTGTAACTTGTGCTCGGTCCCCTTTTGCTGATTCAATACTGTTTATTTACTCTATGGTTTTGAGAGTTTAGGTCTGGGAAATCAGATCAAGTTGAAATTTGGTCTCTGGTCCTCACTTTCAACTTGATAGCCCTTCATAAAACTGACCAATTGTGTTTTCTTTGCTGTTGGTTAGAGTACCTTTGGTCTTAAATTTTAGAGTGGTTTTGAGGGGGAAATAGCCAGATTTCAAGAGCTCTTTTCATTTTCAATATTACCCTTCAAATGTAGGAGGCCAGAGTAGAACAATGCTTGCTCCTCGCAGTGGTTGGGACACCCCACCAGTGTGACCTCCATAGAATGAAAGGGCAAGTCATGCAGAGCCATGTCAGTTAATATTTTATTTATCCCAGAGTGCTAACAATCTCATTCATGTTATTCATAATGATCTGGACCTGAGCCATGTCTAACGGCCTACTTGACAGTTGACATATTTTAAAAACTAAAGCCAAAACGTTAGTTTCTTTTACTGGATTTTTGGAGCATAATTCATTGGGATACATTCACTTTCCATAAAGATTTCATTTCACTGGATTCTGAATAAGACCTATGGTAGAGGGGTTCCTTGACTGCAAGAGGGTGAGCCTTGCCCATGGTGTACTGAGCTAGTTCTGAAAATAGGACAGGCTGTGCCAGACAGTCAGGAAGACGATTCGTCCATTAATATGGAGTATGGTGTTTCGTCCATAGTTTGGTTGGAAATATTTGGATGATCAAATGTGTTTATCATTTTAATAATACAGTGACACAGTGTATTAGTTGTGCTGCTTAGTAAATGATCTTTAATGATTACTGAAACTTTTGGGGATCTTCTTAGCTCTTTACTTTTAATTTTACTTTGGAGTTAGAATAATTTGAAATAGTGACTGTGAACTCAAGCAACAGATTTGTTGCTAATAGGGGAAGACTGCCTGTTTTTATACTTTGTCTATTTCTTAAAAAGAGAAATCACTCCTGGTCCAATGGACTTGATTATCAGCAGCCTGCAGTGTAGAGATAGATGACACAGCTCTGGGAAATGATTCCATTCAAAAATAAACCTGTATCAGGCTATTTTCCAATATAGATATCATGAAACCTGAGAGTTCCTAAATGACCTTGCTGCCTCTGTTATTGATAATTCTAGTTCACTAACTCAATTCATGTAAAAAAAATATTCCTCTGTTAGAGCTCATATAGGAAATGATTGATAAATTTGACTGCATTTGAATTTTAAAATTTACATAATGAAAGACACCATATATGAAGACGTAAAGAAAGGTAACAAACTAGAAGAATATATTCATAAGGCATAAAATGCTATCATAAGGACATAAAGAATGCCTTTAAATCAATTTAAAAGAAAAATGGGTGAAGGCTAGAAAAAGGCATTTCATAGAAATTGAAGCAGCAATAACCAGTACACTTATGGAGAGATGCTCACAGTCATAAAATGCTGTTTCAAATAATGAGATACTAGTTCACACTGTTCGATTTGAAAAAAAATCAGAAGCCTGATAATTCCAATTGAGAAATTGGGCCTCTTTTTTTTTTTGCCTGGACATGGTGGGATTGCCATTTCTAGACCCTCTTCGGAATACAGTTTGGCAATGTTATATATTAGTATAGTTGAAAAGGCATCTGCATTATGACTGAGCAATTCTAATTTCAGTTATGTTACCATGTTTACGCTAAAACACTCTTTTACATATGCCCAAGGTGTTCACTGCACCATTATTGATAAAAGCACAAAGTTGGGGAGAAGTAAATATTTGTCAAAGGAGATAGGGATAAATAAACTTGGTTCATAGAATGACCTGCTGCAGAGCAGGTAAAAATAATAAACTACATCCTTATGCACAGATAAATCTCAGAATTATATTGTTGAACAAAACGTCCAAGGATGCTATGTACACATACCCATTGTAATTTTTAGCAGTACATCAGGCAAAGCTATATATTTTTTATCTATGCCTATGTGTTGCTAAATATAAGACTGTGAAAGGATACATATTAAGGTCATGAAAGAGGAGAACAAAAGGCTCTTCATATATACACTTGCACACATGCATATATATATATATCATATATAGACACTCATATGCATATATGTATATGCATATATATGTATATGTACACATACACAGATCTACAGGTATGCATGCATATTTGTCGGAAGTAAAAATAAAACACAGGTGTAGATGTCTGAGGAGAGGGAGCTAATCCCTACTCTACAATTACGTTAGCTAGGACTTTGTGGTAGCAACTGTTACATGGGACTTCTCACTAGCGATTCCCTTTAAAATCACATTGTTTCAATGACTACTGACTTATTTAAAAAGAGAAATGACCATTTCAGGGCTTAATTAGGCATTAAACATATGATTACTTACCGCTTCTGTTCCCAAACCTTCTGACTTCTATAGTTTAAAAGTGGAAAGATGGCTTTAAAAATATCTTGTCTAAAAGTGCCTTTGCTACAATGGTCGGTCCTGCAGACGTGTGCGTGTGGATGAAGGACAGAAAGGCTATCAAGTTGTCATTGCTACCACCCGGGGTTTCCAAGCCTCGGAAGTGTAGCCGCTGTGGGCTGGATATGCCTTTGTGGCAGGGAGCTGGTCTGTGCATTGTGAGATGTTTATGGGCATCCTGGCCTCTACCCACTGGATACCAAAAGCACCCCCTCTCCCAGTTATGGCAACCAAAACGGCCTCCAGCATCACTCAGAGTCCTCGGAGGGTGTGGGGAAGGGCAGCCTTGCTGGGCGCAGAAGCAGTGCCTTGGGGGGCCTTTCCTTAAACCCCTACAAGGTTAAACTCTTGCCTCTTTTTCTGAATATCTTCTGAAAACAAGGAGCAGGTTTTAGATTTGGCCAAGTGTGAAGGAAGCCTACTTCCACCTCTTAATTAAAAAACTCTTAATTGTTGTTTTCATTCTATTTTAAGTGTTTGAGTGGCCCATGCGCAGAAGGCGGTATTTTGTGGAAGAGCCACACTCAAGGGGCCAAAGAGCCGCAGTTTGCCGACCACTGAGTTAGTGCAATCAATACTGCTTTTCCTTATCATCACCTGTATGATATGGGATTCCAAGACACCAGATATCTGCTGACTGGCTTTTAGAAGACTAGTGGAAACAGCAGATGCGGGGTTGGGTAATCTAACATCAAAACCCTCACATTTGAAAACCATTATGAAGCTGGGGGGCTGATTATTTAGGAGCTATTTTGTTTTCTTTTGCTTTTAACGCTCCTTTTAAGCCCTGAGCTCCGAAGGCCGAGAGCCGCTGTCTGTCTCTCAGATGAAGCTGTGAAACATGCTTCGTGTACCCAGGAGGGGCTCTCAGGAGATGTCTGTTGTTTTGGACTCTTATTCCCAAATTACAACACCCAGCTTCTCTTGCACATGAACATGTGAACTCATGCTCACACATTAAAGTGGCAAAACAGAAATGACCTTGTCCGACGTCGGTAGGAAAACAGACCAGCAGCCACAGGTTCCTCAGGAGCGGCCGCAGCAGCCAGTCTGTGCGGGGACTGGTCAGGGGCAGAGGGACACCGCTCCCCGTGGGACGTGGGACGGGGACGAGACCTCGGGTGGGGCGGGCCAGGAGGAGAGAGCGACTGTCTTAGCTGGAAACACGGCTTTTCCCACCTCGTTGGCTAAAGTGCGCATTTTGTTTCTTGTTTTTCCCCAGTTTATTTGAAGAAGAGATAATGTCTTATGTGCCTCCACATGCCTTACTCCACCCCAGCTACTGTCAGTCCCCGCGCGGCTCCCCTGTGTCCTCTCCCCAGAACTCGCCAGGTGAGTCCACCTGCAGCTCCCGGGTTCTCCGAGGAGCGAGCCCTAAGTCAGAGGTTGTGTTCTGCGTTGGGGCCAGTGCAGGGACATTCGGGTGCATTTTTAGGGCCAGCCTGGGTGCATGCCATGTGGCACGCTCTGTCCCCTGGATCTGGCATGTTTCCCGGGGATTCATGCCGACAGGAAGGTAATGACATTCCGGAATAGCAAGGTAAAGGCTCGCCGTGCGGCCTAGTCAGAGACAGGACTTACTCTTCATCCGGCGGTGCCCAATATGCCTTGGAAAACGTTAGGGCACAGGATACTGTGTTAGCTTTTTGCATTTAAAAGGTTTTAGTTAGGAGGCTGATTCAAGGAATAATAAAAGAAATCTCTACTTTTGAGAAATAATAGAGAATTGAAACTGGTCAGCTTCAGGGACTTGGAGAGTTTTCCCTGCAGTAGTCACTGCCTGCACTGCATGGGACAGTGAAGGACGCGTGGGCAGACAGAACGTGTGACCGATGAAACAAACGAACATGTTTAATTTCAAATTCCTTTTGAAGGAGGTATGTTGTGAATGAAGGAGTGACTGGTTGAATGTGTGAGTGAATGGATAGATGAATGAATGAAGGAATGAATGAATGAATGAATGAATGGTAGAAAATGCAGGTTAGCAAACGAGTGTTTTTTAAAGGAGGGTAGTCATGATGTTGTAAATCAGCTGTATTATCCTCATTATAGGCAATGCATTGTTCACACTTTAACAGCTTTCAGAATTTAAAACTATGCGACTGGGAATCCACACTCCATACGTATTACGAAGAGCCGCTCTTTATGTTCATTGATATATAACATGTGTTTTCACATATTGTTGTGATAATGAAGCTACAGCCGACTCAAATACCTCAAACAGGAAAAGGTTCATTTACCACAGATTTATTGAGCATCATCTATGAGCCAAGCACTGGTGCTACAACGATGAATAACACACTCTCTGCCTTTGAAGGATTCATAGTGGGCCAGTGAGTCAACGTATGACTCTGTAAAGCTTTGTGGTCCGTCCTGTATTGAAGAATGTGTGGGAACACATCTCCCCTTAAGACTAGGGGTGGGGTGTTGAGGGAAAGATGAAGGTGCCTGGTTTGAAGGGGGGCCCTGAAGAACGATGGTGGGAGTTTACCAGGGAGACCAAAGGAAGAAGGGCCTTCATGGCACCGAAGCATGAAAACAGTTTAGGGCAACGCGAAGGCAAGTTCCCAGAGCTCAGACTGGAAGATAGACTAGGACAGTGATGGCGAGCCTTTTGAGCGCGGCGGGTCAGCATTTTGAAAAACCCTAACTTAACTCTGGCGCCGTGTCACATATAGAAATTTTTTGATATTTGCAACCATAGTAAAACGAAGACATATTTTTGATATTTATTTTATATATTTAAATGCCATTTAACAAAGAAAAATCAACCAAAAAAATGAGTTCGCGTGTCATAGGTTTGCCATCACTGGCCTAGGGCCTGTGGGTCATTGATGCCGTACCTTGTAGTCCATGTGCAGCCCCTAAAAATGTGTAAACAGAGGAACATCCTGTTTTACAAAGACCAGTTTGGTGGTGATACAGAGGATGGATTAGAAAATGAGAGACTAGAATCAGAGAAACTGTTTGGGAGGCTGTTGTGTTAACCCAGGTGACATGCTTTAAAGAGCTGGACTGGTGACGATAGAGAAAAGGGAATTAATTCGAAAGACACGTAGGAGGTGGAGATACCAGGACTTTGAGTTCAGGTAAGGAAAATTCTGAGGTCCCACCACCTAGATTGCTAGGCAGACGGTAACCCCATTTACCCAGAAAGGAAAAGGATTGGACTGGAGGGGAGCGGAGATGAGTTTGGTTTGGACATGTTTCCTGAGGAATCTTCGGAGATATCCAGGCACAGCTGGAAAAGACCTCCATGGAGCTCCGGAGAAGCTGGCTGGGAACACAGGTGTACGGGTGGCAGCGGGGCCAGAGTGAGGGGAGAGGAACGAGGGAAGACAAGTCTGTGGAAAGAAGGGAAAAGCGGACGGTCACATGAGAAACCCCAGCGTTTCAGTGCTGGGCGGAGAGAGAGCGCAGGGGAGAGAGCCAGTGGATTTTGGAACAGAATTAGGAAAGTCTTTTCAGGGAAGCCAGGTTCCAAGGAGGAGGGAGTGGTTAACTGGGCCACATCTTCAAAGGAGTCATGAAGGATGAGTCTGAGAAGAGGCCATTAAATTGGAAATTTATGAAATTGGGTATGGCCTTTGCCAGGGCAGTGTCCGTGAAACCATCGGTCACAGACTGGAATGTGACTGGTGACAGAATGATAGAGGATGTCAGGAGGAAGCCAGGAGGGTAGACTATTGTCTTCACCAGGTGTGAAAGGAGAGGAAAATAGGACAGTATGGGTCAAACGATGTGGGTGGGAAGAGAGTGGCCCCTCGAATGGGGCGGAGCAGCAGGCGGCACAGCCCAGGCGGGGGCAGGCAGGACCCTGGGGGCCCCAGCACCGGTCAGCTTGGGGACAGAGCAGGGACACCAGCTTGGATGATACAGGTTGGGAAGACAGCAGTAGATGACGCGACAGGTAAGTTTCAATGTGACATAGACGTTTGATGCCAACGTCCAGGGGAGAAATTGCTGTCATTCACAGCTGCCTTCATCTTTGTCAACCGTGTGTGATGTTGGGCGATCCACTCCTCCCTGGCCTTGAATTTCTGTCCTGTAAAATGGGAATAATAGTGGTCGCCTCCCCTGGTTACTCGGAGGAAACCTCACTGGAGAACACCATCCCAAGCATCTAGTACATATTCGTTTATTCCTTTTTTCCTTTTTGGAAATAGGATCCTGAAAAGTAGCGTTTGTCAATATTTGAGCCATTAATAACTGCAGCATATCAACCCATTTCTTCCTGATGCGCAGGGCCGGCCGCCTAAATAGTTACTCATTCTGACGGGTCTTTATCGTAGCTGGGGCCCAGGGTGGCGTTCAGTTGGGTTGTCCCTCTCCCGGTGCTTCGTGGGTAAAGAAATGAAGCCGTGCGGGTTGTCACTGATTCCAGCCAACGTTCTCCTCCCAGGCCTTTGCTGAGGCACCCTCCCCAGAAAAGGTAGATCTCGGGGTGTCCCTCTGAATGCCCTCCCCCTCCGGAGGCGCAGGTCAGGAGACTGGCCAAGCATCTCGAGGCTCGCGTGAACACGTGACATGATGCCTCTGTCGATCACTTCATTTCATCGCCCATCACCATGGCCGTGAGGAGTCCCTGGTGGGAATAGCACGCCTCCTGGAAGCAGGTGTGGGATTACATCCCAAAGACAAGGAGAACCCAGGCAGACCCCCCTCGCCAGCAGTGCTAGTGGCGGCTGTGACTCCCTGGGAGAACCGTCCCCATGCTCTGGCCCCCCGGGTCCAGTGGGTGTGGTTTGTCCCTACAGTCGGCTGCACTGCCCTGGCCCGTGGGGTCACTAACTGATGCCACGTGACCCACAGGGGGACTCGCTGGCCGCCTTCCTCCTGTTTCTCCAGGTGAAAGAGCCTCTCCCTCTACCGGTGTTTCCCAAGTTTTCGTGAAAACACTTCCGAGGGGTTCTGAGAGGTTGTCTGGTCCCCCTTGCGACTAGAACGCCACCTCCTGAGGGCTTGGGGATGATGTTGTGAAAATCACGACGATCATGAATTTTAATGATCTTTTCGGAGCCCTAGGACCCCGTCAGCTGTCCATGTTTCCTTATCCGAGCGCGGGGACAGTCAGGGGCAGCGGGGAGGGGCTCCGCCAACGGGGACTCGCTGCTCCTGAGCTGTGACAGCGCCGCTGAACACCTGTCCCGATGTTGGAGCGGGAAGCGTGGCTCTCCTGGGACCTTAGACGCCAGTCCCCGCCTTCGCGCCCTCCGCCCCAGGGCAGAGCCCTTCCCAAGCACCGTATGGTTTGTGATGTCCGATCCGGGCCCAGCAGGAGACCTAGGGGCCATAGGAGGCCGGGCATTTCTAGGAACTTAGATGCAGCAAATCCCCCGTTTAACGAATGCTGTGGGAGGTGTGCTCACGCCTGTGAACGTTCCCGGCACCTAAGCTCTGAGTGCACGAGGCACTTGGTGGTTTAAAGGACCGTCACATGGCGCTGGCAGTCCTTGGCCAGACCTGGGCCATCTGGAAGCGACAGCAGCCCAGGTCACAGGCAGCCCAGGTCCCAGGTCCCAGAGAGCACTGAGGAGCCACATGGGTCTTTCCTGGAGCTCGTCTTGAGGGCCTGGGGTGGGAGAGGGAATGATTTCTCCGACCCCACGGGGGATTCTCTCTTCCTCTCTTTCTGAAGTCTTAGCATCTTAGCTGCTGCTCATTTCATCGCCTGTTCTTCCCACAAACATCCTCTCTGTCTCTCCCCCTCCTTTCCTCTCTAATTCCCGCTCCCTTCCCCCATCACCCCACTCTCCCTGGAGTTGCTCTGCACTTGTTCTAGAAATGGGGTTCCACCCCTTCTCTTTACTCTGCCCCCCCCCCAGGTGATCTGGGAACCAGATGGTACAACTGTAGATGTCCCTTGTGGGGGATGGGGACCTGTGGTTGCAGAAACAAGGGGAAGGGAAGCCAAGTATGTCGGGCACAGCTAAGAGGTGGTGGTGGTTGTCGCTCGCCTCCCTGTCCCCCACCCCAGCGCTCTCAGGGGTGCCTGTCACTGGCATGCCCTTTTGCTCTCCCCTTTTAAAATCCACCCTGGTCTGAGAGGCCAGACTATCCAAGGGCTTTTTAAAAAAACAAATAGTATGTAAATGATAGCATGAGCCGGCTCAAAACAATGACCTGAAGGCCTGTTCCTCTTGGGAATAAAGCAAAAATGTGAAGACTGCAGTGGCTGTGCTTCTAGCCAGCTAGTCTGGAGGTGTGAGTGTGTGAATGTGAGTGTGTGAATGTGTGTGTGTGAATGTGTGTGTGTGTGTGGTTTTCCCTGTTAATTTCCATTGCGGAGCTATGTTCCAGAAGATGGAGTCGCCCAGAAATTACTGCACAGCTTGATAGTCTGTTCTCATTCACTGACAGAATTTTTTGAAAATGTCATAGAGCTCTTTTTTTTTTTTTAGAAAGTGAACCAGGGTAGAAATGAGCCCTGAGCCATCCCCGTACAGCGGCCTGGGGCCATGTGGGACGATGCTGAGCTTGCTCCCTATCCAGGGCCGCTAGTCCTCAAGGCGGACGGGGTTCCTGGGGGCACATCCGGATAATCAGAAGGGCCCCAGGCTTCTTAGAAGTTTGATGCAGAGATTTTCCTAGTACCACCCCAGGGATTTTTTCAGGTAGATTTCTGGAGTTGCTATGTGATGATGCAGGTTTGTAACAGTACGTAGAAATAGGGCGGCACTAGATGGAGGGACTGTAGGTCTGCCCAGGAATGGTAAAGAAAAAAGAACCCTAATGTCTGTTACTGAAATTTCTTCCTGCAAATAATTAATGTAGCGCTGACTACCCTATGAAGTCACCCTTCATTGGGTCACTTCCTGAATGTAACAGCGTCCTCAGTCTGACTTCCCTGTTCAAGTCCGTAAGACCGTGAAGTTGCTCTTGGGCCGAGTCTTGGATCCTGGAGCCTCGCGGGGAGCTGTGGCCGCACAGTGCTGCTCACTCCGCTCCCAGAAAGATCATGTTTTATTTCCACAGCGGAAGTACCGGCGCTCCTGCCCTGGAATTTCTTGGCAGTTGCACCTGACGTGTATTAGGAGTCTGACAAGGGCCAGCGGCCTAATTCCCTGTAATTTCTAAGCCGTGAAGTAATGGGTAAATGGTTTTTTCATGATAGAACTATTAGCAGAAGCATTTCTTGCCTTTAACGACGTCTGTCCCCAGAGTCTCCGTAATTGAGTCACGTCAGCGGGAGCATCAGTGGAGTCAGAGCTGTTTTATTGAGGCCCGTGTTGGTGCTGATGATGCATTATGGGACTCCCCACATCCTCGTAAGCATCTCAGGTTACACGCCAGCAGCGTAAGATGGGCTGTTGTGTTTCTGTTTAAGGAATGAACTCCTAAAGAATCACGTTTCTTTTGAGCCTGGACGATTTTCAGGGGGTGCTGTGTTCTTCCTTTCGTCTTCCACCATCATGCTCTCGAACACGGATTCATGAGTCTGCTCCGAGCTGTCTGGGTTTACTGGCCGGCTTTTCTCAGCCGGCAGCGCTGACAGCCTCATGCTGCACCCCTGAGTGGACTTGGCACATGCTGCCCTGTCCCTGGGCGTCCAGGAGTGTCGGTTGCTGGATGCGGATGCTGCCCGGGTGTTTTGTGGGTACCCTTGCCCTCCCAGGCGGGGAGGGGGTGGCGGATAATGGTTCTCACGCTTGGAGTTGGTGGAGAGCCCTATAAAACACTTAGCCAGGCCACACCCCCAGGGGTCTGATGTCGTGTCTTGGGTGTGGCCTGGCCAGGGAGGTTTGTAAGCTTCCCAGGTGATCTAATGTGCAGCGGAGCTGTGGGGACCACTGCCAAGGAGTCCCTTCTGCATCCCAGACACTTAGGTCGAGGTTATTGGTTTTCTTTGTGACATCGCGCTTAGCTCTGTGGGTAAGAGTCATAGCTATGCAGACAGACCTCTGGGCATATCGATGACCAACAGCAGTGTGACTGACCGTTCCTAAGCCCCAGCGCAGGCCCCGGGCCCTCGGTGCCCAGCTCCATGCAGACAGTGGCAGGCACCAGCCTCCCTCCCCACACGCCTCCCTCCCCACACCCCGCCTACCAGTCTCCCTCCCCACACCCTGCCCACCAGCCTCCCTCCCCACACCTCATCCACCAGCCTCCCTTCCCATGCTGCTTTGGGTGTCAGATAGACCTGGCTCAGACCCCACACCCACCATTCACTGGCATATGATATCCGTTGCCTTAGTTACAGTGGTGATGGGGGGAAGGATAACAATGCCTGCTCCCTAGACTTGGGAGGACTCCCCAGGATTCTCTATGCAAAGCGCCTGGCCCGTAAGCCATAGCCAGTACTTAACCAGCGAACGGCAGTGGTATTGTTCTAAAAACTTTATTTTTTAAGTGTTTTTATTGTTTTCAGAGAGGAAGGGAAAGGGAGAGAGAGATAGAAACATCAATGATGAGAGAGAATCATCGATCGGCTGCCTCCTGCATGCCCGCCACTGGGGATCAAGCTTGCAACCTGGGCATGTGCCCTGATCTATAATCGAACTGTGACCTCCTGGTTCATGTAGGTCAATGCTCAACCCCTGAGCCACGCAGGTTGGGCCTAAAAACGTTGTATTAGCACGAGAGTTCCTGCTTCTCTCCTTCCCTCCTGGTACCCGTTCTTATTTCACATGGCACATATTCCCCTGCGTCCCCACCCTGCAGTCCAGGCTCACCGTGCCTCAGGCCTCCATTGCAACTGCTCCTAACTGGCCTCCACCCCATCTTCTCTCCTTGCCACCCTGCTTCCCACTGCTCACTGCATCGGGCCCAGGCTCCTCAGCCTCGTTTTCAATTCCTCTCATAGTTTGGCTCCAACCTTCCACTGCTTTCCCTCCCCAGTCACTCCCCCGCGCTCTCCTCTGCTCTGTGAGTGGGTCTCCCCGTGTCTGCTGACCACACACACAGGGCTTATTGAACTCACGCTGCCGCCGTAGAGGACAGATCTCTGGGGTAAAGGCCTGGCTCCCTAGTCTTCCCCCTTTGTTCTCTGTCATCCTCATTCACTGTCCCTTTCCCATAACCCTGATCTCAGTGCACATCCTGGGGCCAGGCAGCCGTGCCAGTGCGTGGAGCGCACGCTTCCTCTGATGGAGCAGCGGCCCGCGTAGCCCCAGGAGAGTGCACGCCAGCGGCTACAGGAGCTCCCGACATTGTCCGGAGGAAATATGTATTTTTTTTTACTTGAAATCTCATTTTTAAATGCTGAAAAGTTAATTTAAAAATCTTTAAAAATGATTTTAATGCAAACAAGATGGATCACTAGGTCTGGGTCCAGCCCCAGGGCAGTAGTCCTGTCCTCTGCTTTATAGTTGGCACGCCATCGAGGTTAGGACTTAATCACGTGTTCGCCAATTGTTGGACAGGTTTGATTGCTGACTTCCCAGCCACGGTGCCCACTTCGGGAACCCTGTCTGACTCATTGCGAGCATCCCTTGCTGAATCTAACATGGTATTAGCAATGAATGACCACCACTGAGCTGATTCATTCATCAAAGAAATATTTAATGAGCTTATTCTGGTGCGTAAGGCACAGGACTTCAGCATGTCTGTCTTCTGGTTTCTCTCATTGTGTTGTGAAATCTCTGGTGGAAATTTCCAGTGTTCTTGTCAGCGCCCTGACTCCCATTTTCATCACCGATTCTGTATCCCGGCATGTCGGTTAGATACCTTAAGACCCAAAGCCAGAGTTTTCTATGGAAAGAGGAACTGTTACTTCTACATTTTATTAATGATACTTGTCATGTGATGAGATATTTTTTAAAAAAATCTTTAGATAATCTGTAGATAATCACAGTACTTGGCACATATTAAGAGAAGCAGGGGCTGTGTGGAGGTGGGCAAAGGTGGGGGGAAACGGGACATCTGTGACAGTGTCAACAATAAAAGTAATAAATACGTTCACATTGTTATGCAAAAAGAGAATGCAACAAACAGCAGTCTTATTTACTCTGTGCAAGCAGGAGACGTGCCTTCAGCAGTTATGTCTGAATCCTGTGTTTCCATCCAGATTATTCTACCCTGCGGCATCAAATGCGTGCCATTATGCGTCTGAAGCAATTCCTAGTTAGGGTGCAAACCCGAAAGAAGTTTCGTAGGTTTTCCATAGAGTGAAGGATGGGAACTCACTGCTCTTGCTGTAGACACCGCATACTTTTCACATGATAACTTCCTGTCTCATTGCCATGATATCATCTCAGCAGCCAGCAAAGATATTCCGCCCTCCAGTCAGCACTGGGCATGAGTAATCCAGCTTGGCTTGCAGCAGCTTGGCCTGAAAGGGGAACACATTTGACGAACACATGGCACCATCATAACTACCCAAAGGGCTTCGCTCTTTTCGACTAGCATGCCACCAAGGAACCCAGGGGCCGTGTGGAGGTGGGCAAGGGTGGTGGGGGAAGGGGGGCATCTGTAACAGTGTCAACAATAGAAGAAGTCAGTACATTCACATGGTTCTGCAAAAGAAAAAGAATGCAACAAGGGGCAGTGTTGTTTGTGTAAGCTCTGTGCAGCCTTTAACCTGGACAGTGGGAAGCTGCAGGAGCTGAACGCATTGATGGCCCCCTTTCACATGTTCCCTCTGGTCTCAGCTCGGATGATATGTGTTCATGGTGGCATGATGCACACCGGGACGTTGCGCAAGGCCAACCCTCTCTCTCTGTGGTTTGCTGTAGGTACGCAGCGTGCCAATGCCCGGGCACCAGCCCCTTACAAGCGAGACTTTGAAGCCAAGCTGAGGAACTTTTACAGGAAGTTGGAGACTAAAGGGTATGGACAAGGCCCAGGGAAATTAAAGTAAGTGAGAACGAAACCAGCACAGGGTCTGCTGATGGTGAGAGGATGGGGTGCAACTGGGCGTGGTTTGCGGCGGACGACCACCTTGGTTTTAGTCGGTGTAATTATTTTGGTGTCTGTACGTGGCAGCACCATACATAACACGGTTCTGGCACTGAGCACAATTAAGCTTAAGGTGTTTTTTCTCTATCCACTGAGCCACACCGGTTTCGGCTGAGCTTAAGGTTTTAAAGCAAACAGTAAAGAAACGACCACATTCCATGTAAAAACGTCCACTGAGCCAAACCGGTTTCGGCTAAGCTTAAGGTTTTAAAGCAAACAGTAAAGAAACAACCACATTCCATGTAAAAAAATGTTAAGGAAAAGTACAAGCTGCCCAGCTGTTGAGCACCGACCTATGAACCTGGAGGTCATGGTTCGATTCCCGGTCAGGGCACAGGCCGGGGTGCAGGCTCCATCCCCAGTGGGGGGTGTGCTGGAGGCAGCTGATCCATGACTGTCTCTCATCATTGAGGTCTCTCTCTCTGACTTCCTTTCTGACATCAATAAAACTGTATTTTAAAAAAATAATAATAAAATTTAAAAAATGACAAGCGGATTTACTTTTTCTCCTGAAAAGGACCTCTGTTGGCTTAGCGTGGACTCGTTGGCTCTGAGGCTGTCGCGATGTCCTGCATCGCTCAGCACTGTCCCCTGAGCCGACCTGAGTGCGGGCACCGTGCTCAGCATGTCGCTCTGTGAACTAAACTTCACTTGTTCGACGGCGCACCTCATGAACGTTGTTCCTGCCTGTCTTCCTTCACCTCCATTTAAATGGGGAAATGGAAGCAGCCTCACAATGTGTGGGCAGAATGATGCTCATTCTCTACGTGCCCCTCCTGCCCTCATCCCCCCTCCAGCCTGCACCAGGGCCTTACCGAGGTCTCGTGCCCCCTGAGAGAAGATACAGGAGGGAGGGTCGCTACTGCAGTCCCACCACATTCCGGGTACCCGAGAAAGGGTCCAGGGGGCAGCCCACAACCCATGGCTCGCCACCCCCCCCCCAGGAGGGCTCACTTGGTTAAGTTAGCCGGTCCACTTCCCTCACCTCAGAAAACACCAGCCCGTCCAACACCATGCCTCTCAGAGCCTTCTCTCCTGATGTTTCTCTTACGAAGCTCTTGATCAAGCTTTCATCCCGTGGCCTCCACATTACCTCCCTTTCCATGGCTATTATCACTACAGTCAAATTGGTGTGTGCTCAGGGATGACTTCAACTGTCATTCGGACATGTGGGTTCATGGGCCACACGTATCAGTCGTTTGTATCTGTCACTTAGGGAATCTCAAGATTCCCTTCATTTAAAAATTAAGTCAAGCACAGTGGTAAACTCCTCTGCTTGGGGGAGGACACAGAATTTTTTTCCTCTTGTTCTCACAGTCAACTCTCTAGGCTCTTAGTACCTCAATTCCTTGTCGTGGGGCACTCGGGCTCCAACCATGACCTCCTGGGGCTGTTCTTCCTTAACTCAGCACAAGGTTGTGCCTGTGATACTGCCCATTGTCCTTGGATAGATGGACTCGACCACTCAGAGGGCCTCTCGGTGTTCGCAGGTCATAGGTGGGGTGCCCCCTCTATCGGCGCTCCTCTTACGCAGCAGTTGCTGGCAGAGAGCGATGGCATGAAGTCACTCCTTTTTGCCTCGTTAGTTATGGTAAATGGAAATTAAATGGCAAGCGCCCAGTCCTAGAAAGATAAGGATTAGGCAATAACCTTTTTTATTTTTTTTCAAATTGTCTTCTTATGGACAGGTTAATCATCAGAAGAGATCACTTACTCGAAGATGCTTTTAATCAGATCATGGGCTACTCCCGAAAAGACCTGCAGAGAAATAAGCTGTACGTCACCTTCGTCGGGGAGGAAGGGTGAGTGGCACAGAGAAGTGGCCTGGGGAGCGCAGGCTGGGCTGCAGGGCGGTGTCTCACCACATCCTCGCTGCGGTCGCCTGAAACAGGAAACCCTCTGGCAGGAAATGCTGCTCTCATACACTGAAATCTCGTGGCTTTTTTTTTTAAAGGCCTTCTCTGGTTTTTGAATTATTTGGCATAGAAATTCTCTGGTAAAAACTTATAACTCCTGAGCATTTTTGAGAGCATCGTTTGGTTTGGTCTCTTCTCTACTTCCCTCCTAAAGGGAAGTGTGGGCTTTGAGGGGGTAAACACCAAGGAATTGCTTTTCAGCATCTGTGCTCTTGTTACCTACCCTGGGTGCCCGGCAGAACGTGCTTCACCTGGTAAATAAATTCCGTTTCAGCATCACCATTGGAATTCTGCTCTTCTACCCAGAAGCCTCCGCAGCAGTCACTGTTGGGTCTTGGTTCTTACTGTTCTCTCCTTTGAGAGGGCAGCACACCTACCGAGATGGCTGCCTGCCGTAAGCAAAGGTCTCCAACCTTCCACGACACTTGCCTGAGTGTGCTCATGTAGATAAGGGTCAGGGAATGAGGAGTGAAGACTCGCACCGTCTTCATTGCATCTGGGTAGATGTGGCAGCTGTTACATAGCACATGAGAGATGACAGCTCTCCTGTCTCCCAGGCCCCTTCCTCTTTCCCCATTTCAGGGCAGGGTTTCAAGTTCTAGCACCTCCAGTGTAACCCAGCCATCACTACAGTGAAGTAAACAAAACCCCACACCGGTGCCTGAACTGTGGTTGTCTTCTCCTTGATTGTATTATTATTGATTTGGATTTGGATTATTTCCCTCTCAGTCATGCCCAGGAATAAACTGTGTTAGATTATGGAACCATAGTAGTAATAGCCAACAAATTAAACCATCCAGTATATGGTTCATGAAATGGAGGCTCCAATGTATAAAATAACTGCATGTCCCAGTGGAGCCAGATTATAGCAAAATTGAGATTCACAACCAGGTCTGAGTTCTTCCTTCAGTCCTCTTGGCCCAACACTGGGATGTAGGCAAAACTCCTGCACTCTGGTCTGTCTGCAAGTTTTTCCTACCCATGGATCTTTCCACCATTTCAACTAGTGCCTGGTAACGTCCGCTCTTCATGTGCACTGTTGTATAGTCTCCCTGCTGAGACTCGGTGAAAGGGAAACCTTACGTGGGAAAGAGCTTAATGTGACCGAGTTGCACAGAAGCTGCCTGAGACCCAAGCCCTTCATCCCTGACGTGCCCCAGTGGATTTCTCGCGTCTGTTCGTTGGCTTAGAGATGCAGGTGCACAGTTGAAAATGCAGACAAATGTTTTTAGCCTCATCACAGGTATGCATGGGATGCCAAGTATTTCCTGGCAGAGTCAGCCTGGTTTGAATGAGAACGCTTCTCCTCCCCCAGAGGGCCAGCTGCCTTCCTTCATTGTTGAGATCTCAGAGATGCAGGGAAGAGGCTTGGGGAGCCCTGGGACTTAAGTGTGAACGGAACAGGTGCTTGTGATGTTTGGTCATGCAGCCTCCCTAGGATCCAGACTGATGACATCTGCTCCTGGGAGGAGGCCCAGGCTGAGTGGGCCTGATAACTCTGGATTTGATCGCCACAAATGTCCAAATGCTTCCTGCTTCTATCGCCTGTCTTCCACCTATAACCCCAGAGGGAAAATAAGAGGAGACATTGAGGTGTGAATTTCAGTCATCAGAAACACTCTCTTAACTTGGTGATTGCCAGAATGGCACAAACAACAGTGAATGACAGGACGTTGTCCTGTTCTGGGACAGGAAGTGTGGGAGGATATATGGGAAGTAGTGACTTCCAAAGAGGCAACAATATACCATTTGAATGGCCAAAGATACAAAAGATCCATAATCAGAAAATCATAAGACACTGAAGAAAGATAATTGAAGAAGATACAAATAAGTGGAAGCATATACCATGTTCATGGATAGGAAGAATTAACATAATTAAAATGTCCATACCACCCAAAGCAATCTATAGATTCAATGCAATTCCTATGAAGATACCATGGTATATTTCATGGACCTAGAATATTCCAAATATTAATATGGAACCACAAAAGACCTGAATAGCCATAGCAATCTTCAGAAAGAACAAAGTTGGAGGAAATCATACTATGATATCAAACTCTACTACAAGGCCATAGTAATCAAAATAGCCTGGTACTGGCATAAACAGAGACATATAGATCAATAGAACAGAATAGAGAGCCCAGAAGTAAACCCACGCCTTTATGGCCAATTATTTATTAACAAAGGAGGCAAAAACATACAATGAGGTAAAGATAGTCTATTCAATAAATGGTGTTGGGAAAATTGGATAGATACATGCAAAACAATGAAACTAGACCATCTTCTTACACCATATACAAGAATAAACTAAAAATGGATTGAAGACTTAAATGTAAGACTTGAAACCATAAAAACCATACAAGAAAACATAAGCAGTAAGATCATTGGACATTTTTCTTAGCAATATTTTTTTCTGATATATCTCCTGCAACAAGAGAAACAAAAGAAAAAATAAACAAGTGTGACTACATCACACTAAAAAGCTTTTGTACAGTGAAGGAAACCATCCACAAAATAAAAAGACAACCTACTGAATGAGAGAACACATTCGCCAATGATACATCTGATAAGGGGTTAATATCCAAAATTTATAAAGAACTTATATAACTGGAGACCCAAAAAACAAGGAACCTATTAAAAAAAATGGGCAAATGACCTGAATAGAGACTTCTCCAAAGAGGACATACAGGACATACCAAAAGATGCTCAACAAAGATGCTCAACTAATCATCAGAGAAATGCAAATTAAAACCACAATGAGATGTCACTTCACACCTGTCAGGATGGCTGTCATCAATAAATCAACAAACAAGTGCTGGCGAGGATGTGGAGAAAAGGGAACCCTAGTGCACTGCTGCTGGAAATGCAGACTGGTACAGCCACTGTGAAAGACAACGTGGAGGATCCTCAAAAAATAAAAAATGGAACTACCTTATGATCCAGTGATTCCACTTCAGGGAATATATCTCAAGAAACCTGAAACACTGAAATGAAAGAAGATATGCACCCCAATGGTCATTGCAGCATTATTTACAATAGCCAAGATCTGGAAGCAGCCCAAGTGCCCATCAGCAGATGAGTGGATAAAAAAGCTGGTACATTTACACCTGGAATACTGCTCGGCCCTAAAAAAAGAAGAAAGTCTTACCTTTTGTAACAGCATGAATGGACCTGTAGAGTATTATGCTAAGTGAAATAAGCCATTCAGAGAAAGACAAATACCGTATGATTTCATTTATATGTGGGCTCTAATGAACAAATTAAACTAATGAACAAAATAGAAACAGACTCATAGATACAGAGAACAGACTGGCAGCTGGCAGATGGGGGGGAGGTTGAGGGGCTGAGTGAAAAGGGTAAAGGCATTAAGCAAAAAACAAACACACAACATAGCACCTCACAGACACAGACAACACAATGGTGATTACCAGAGGGAAAGGGTGGTGGAGGAGATAGAGGGGATAAACGGTGCCAGAGGGGACTAGACTTTGGGTGGTGAACACACAATACTATATATATTTGGTGTCCCCCCAAAATGTGTACACACACTTTGAATAATAATAAAGGCAGTGTTTATTAAAATACATTTCATTTTCAAAATTAAGCTATCAACTGTTAAAATGTGTCTACGTTTTTTGGGACACCCTGTCTATATATAGTATTATAGAACTGTACACTTGAAACCTATGTAGTTTTATTAACCAATATGATCTCAATAAATTCAATAAAAACTTTAACCAAAAAAGAATAATGCATCTGCCTGTACTCCAAAAAGGTGTGAATTTGCAGATTTGCAGAGATTTTCGCTTTGCTTTAAATCAGTGGTTCCCAACCTTACTTTGGCCATGCCCTACTTAAGCATGTAAAATCCATGATGCCCCCCCCATGACATATAACTCGTATTACTCAAAAAGTGAGCTCCTATTCACGTGGAGGAAGCCTAAAAGGCCATTAACTTGGTCTAGACCAGTGGGCGGCAAACTCATTAGTCAGCAGAGCCAAATGTCAACAGTACAATGATTGAAATTTCTTTTGAGAGCCAAATTTTTTAAACTTAAACTATATAGGTAGGTACATTGTTATTAACTTAATTAGGGTACTCCTAAGGCTTAGGAAGAGCCTCATTCAAGGAGCCAAAGAGCCTCATGTGGCTCGCGAGCCGCAGTTTGCCGACCATGGGTCTAGACAAGGTTCCAAAGAACATGGCATCCATGAAAGAGAAAAATAAAAGAATGAAAGGACAGGTGAAGTACTGAGGAAGAAATCACTAAAAATTTGTTAAAAAAATAATAATATAAAGTGATACGAAAAAATAGCAAATAAAGTTTCAAAACATATAATGAACTGAAATGCACAATATATATTTATATACTGTATCTGAGGCCCCTAGAACCATAAGAAAAAAATTCACTGTTAATAACTCATTTTTGAATTGCCCCCCTTAAAAATCAAATTGTCCCCCTGTGGGGCATGTGCTCCATGCTGTGAACCACTGCTTTCAGCTGTTTCTTTGCACAGACCCAAAACATCATCTATAGATTGAAATGAAAAGCAGAGGCAAGAAAAATGACGGGGACATTTACAGTCAGAAATGTACAGGTGAACTACAAATCCCGGGTGAAGTGGAATTAATCTGAGACTATTGGTGATGCCTATATTCAATTTAAAAATACAAAAATAACTCAAGAACCTGTTCATGTGTCTCACTAAAATAATGCTTCACGTTTTACTTGGCTTTTTCCAACAGTCAACGGTTTCTAGGCAAATCACTGTGATTCACTTTGGTCAGAGCTGGAGGTCTGTTCTCGTCATTGAAGTTTCCGCCCCACTTGAGTTGGTTATCTGCGCTGGCACAGTGGGGAGGCGTGCGTGTCAGCAGTGGTGGC